CCCCTCTCCCTTAATGAATACCAAAGAATCTGAAGGAATTGTTTCCATTTGTAATGGGGAGGGGGCAGTATTATTCGCGTGTTGAAGTCTCCTTCCCTTTCTCTCCATTTCCAGCCTTCGAAAATAAACTTTCCACATGTTTTTTTCTCCTCTCCCCCGCCATAAATGTTGACAATGGGACAAAAGAATAGCTGTTGTGCTTGTTGTTAGCGACACGTGGGGAATGAGAAGTGAGGGGGTGAATCCGGCTTAACAAAACTAACCCCCTGATAGGGTGCGGGTCAAAGAAGTCTTACAAATGCGCCCTGAGGAACGCGCACCTTTGTAATTAAACCAAATATGCTTCTTGAAGGCGTCAGCTTCTTTCCCTTCCAAATTATAAAGCTGACTAAAAATATTGATATTTTTAAATAATAACCGTAACAACAACAATAATACACCATTCTTTGTTTTGTGTGCGTGTGTTTGTTTAAGAACGAGCATTTGGAATCCTCTCTCTTGCAGAAATTATGCACATGTTTGAGGTGCACGCTCACCCACAGTAAAATAAACCGTGCAAAAACGCTATCCATGCAAATCTGTCTTTGTTTTTCAATAGACCTTAGCAAATACAACTCGGCCGTTTAAATTTTCTATACAGCGCACCTTCTTCTTCCAGCCCTCCTTTAGCTTTCCTCTCCCTCCCCACCACGCTTCCTTTCTGGGGTCTTCTCGGCTTCCCTTTCCCTCTTTAGCGCCATTCATGATCTTTTTTGACGGAACTTCGGATCCTCGCTGCGCGAACTTTTCTTGTGAAAAATGGAAGCGTTGAGTCGCTGTTAGGTGGCGCCGATCAGAGCCTACTCTCCCCGGCCAAAAGACAGACACAGAAGGAAAATGAGGAGATCCTCTGTGGTTACACACACACACACACACCATACTTCCCTCCCTCCCTCCCTTCAAGGTTTAAACACAGAGTGTTAAAATATTTTGCTGACCTGTCGAGGTAGATCAACAGGGTTTCTTGGCAAGCCGGAGGCTGGTATTACAGCCTGTCCCATGGGGCAATGGCTCGAATTAACCACTAAATGAATATTTGACAAGAGCTCGTTTGGGGGGTATTATTACTACAAACGGGTCCCTATTGGACTTTGCAGGGGTCAAA